GCAAGCTGACGTGGAAGGCGTCATGAATGCGCCAGTCGTCGGGTAGTAGCAGCTTCGCGGTGACAGGTGTCACCATCTTGATAATCTTGAAGGGTCCACAAAATCGTGGTCGTAATTTCGACGGTCCGGGCAGGTGCAGGTTCTTCGTGTCAAGTAGCACTAGTTGCCCAGTAGTCAAGACGAGTTCCCGGCGTAGAAGGTCAGTGTATTTTCGGGAAGTGATATTCGCCTTGCGAATTGCGTCTTCGGCTTTTTCTCGGACTTCCTGAAGTTCCGTCACAAAAGTCTGTGACCTCGGGACCGGGTTGTCGAGGGTAGTTGCTGTAGGAACTGTCGGGTCCATCCCGTGATTCAGGAAGAACGGTGAGTGATTAGTCGTGCTGGACGGCGCGTTGTTGAAAGCGAACTCCAACATGGCGAGGGATTCTTCCCAGCGGGCAGGGTCGGGGCAGTTTGTCCTGATCAGCTGCTCCATGGTCTGATTGGTCCGCTCGGTTTGACCGTCCGTCTGTGGATGATATGCCGATGAGAACTGTAGCTTCGTGCCGTACTGCGCCCACGTCTCTTTCCAGAACTTTGATGTGAACTTCGGGTCTCGGTCGCTGATGATCGCCGAAGGGATGCCGTGCAGTCGCACGACCGTTGAGATGAAGAGGCGCGCAGTTTCTTCGGCTGTGATTGTCGTTCGGCATGGTGCGAAGTGCGCCATTTTCGTGAAGCGATCGACGACGACGAGCACAGCGTTGTTGCCAGACGGTCCAGCTGGCATCCCCGTGACAAAATCCATTGTCACCTGTTGCCACGGTCGTTCGGGTGGCTCGAGGGGTTGCAGCAGCCCAGCTGGTCGTTGACGTGTCGATTTCATGGCTTGGCACACCCTGCATGAGGACACATATCGCTGCACGTTGTTAGAGGAGTCAGGCCAGTAATATTGACGGTGCAGTAATTTATGGGTTTTATCAACCCCGAAGTGTCCGGAGAAGTTCGAATCGTGGACCTCTTGGATGAGAAGTTCACGCAGCAGCCTGTAAGCGGGACCCCAAATCCGGTCGGTTCCGGCCTTTAGGTAATAGTCCCCTTTCTGCGTCGTGGCCTGCTGATGATTCCCAGTCGTGAAGAACGGGTCCGTAGTGTAGCCGTGGGTAAATAGTCCAGTCAGTAATGGGTTCGAATGGGTGATGAGTACTGCAGCGGATTGTACTGTCGGTCGGGTCAGGGCGTCGGCGATGTTATTTGCCCCTTTCTTGTACGTGATGCGGTAGGTGAAGTGGCTCTCCATGTAATCCAGCCACCGAATCTGTCGTGGGTTGAGGTTGGGTTGGGCTCGCAGGTACTGTAGGGACTTATGGTCTGTGCGAACAGTGACGTCGGCGCCCACCAGGTAGCATCGCCATAATTTAAACGCGTGTATGATGGCGAGCATCTCCTTGTCGTGAATCGGGTAGTTGCGTTCGGCTGCCTGCAGCTTGCGTGACTCGTAGGCGATCGGCTGCAATCCATTCCCGAAGTCTTGGAGAAGTACAGCTCCGATGGCGAAATCTGAGGCGTCGGTTACGACCTCGAACGGCTTCGATGGGTCGGCGATGCGCAGCACCGGAGGGGAAACCAGAAAATTCTTGAGTTCCTGGAAAGCCGCTTCTGCCTCCTCCCCCCACACAAAATTCTTGTCCTTGTGCAGCAGGTCGGTCAGCGGGCCGGTTATCCCCGCCATATTCGGGATAAACCGCCTGACGTAATTCACGAATCCGATAAAACTCTGGAGTTCCGTGACATTCGTCGGGGACTTCCACTCCTGTATGGTCTTGATTTTCGCCGGGTCGATTTTAATGCCGTCGCGCGAGATGACATGCCCCAAAAACTCCAACTCCTGCTTAAAAAACTCGCACTTAGAGCCCTTGGTGATGAGTCGGTTCTCCTGCAGCCGTTTAAACACTGCGTCCAAATCGCGGAGGTGTTGTTCCCGTGTCTTGCTAAAAATCAGGATATCGTCCAAGTAGACGATAACACATCGGTCTAGAAGGTCTCGGAAAACCCTGTTCATGGTCAGTTGAAATGTCGAAGGCGCGTTCGTGAGGCCGAAAGGCATCACTGTGAATTCGTAACTCCCGTTGCGTGTGCGAAACGCAGTCTTGTGACAATCGTCGGCGAAGACTCGAATCTGGTGGTAACCGCCACGTAAGTCAATCTTCGAGAAATAGCGAGCGCCGCGAAGTTGGTCGAGGAGGTCGTCGGTGCGTGGGATTGGATAGCGAGACTTGATGGTGACCCGGTTCAGCGCGCGATAGTCGATGCACATGCGAAGCCCGCCGTCCTTCTTCGGAGTGAACAGGATTGGTGCTGCGAAGGGAGATGTGCTGGCCCGGATGAACCCTTTCTCCAACAGTGCGTCAATTTGACTTCGCAGCTCCTCCAGTTCCGGCTGGGTCAACCGCCACTGTGTCCGAACAGTCGGCTGCGCGCCAGGTTCCAGCTGGATTTTGTGGTCCTCAGGTCTCTCGGGTGGCAGTCCAGGTGGCAGGTCGTCGGGGAAAATGTCCGGGTACCTCCGAATTAGCTCCGCTAAATCCGGTGGTACAGCTGCACACAGCTTCTCGATGTCCTTTCCGTCGGTGTCAACCGCCAACTCGCGTAAGCAGACAGCGAACAGCTGTGCGCCCCTGTTGAAGTGGCGAGCTATAGTGATAGCTTTGACGCACGTGGCTTGGATGTAGTCAGGTGTCCATGCAGGCAACTTAATTAGCCCCTCGTGCTTGTTGATGCTGCACGATCCCGTTGTCCAGTCGATGACGGGGTTGTGCCGTCGCAGCCAATCACGTCCGAGCAGTACGTCGCAGCCGTCCAATGTTGTCGCGAGAAACTTCATGCTGAAGCCGAAATCGTCACCGCATTCGATCCTGACCGTCCGTGTTTCTTCCGTTATCGCCAAAGACGTCCCATCCACGAGGCGGGCGTCAATTTCGGGCAGACACCTGTCAAGTTGCAGCTTGCATTTTTTTGCGCTCGCCAAATTGAAGAGGCTATGGCTGGCCCCTCTATCGACGAACATTTTCAAATTATGTTTTAACACCTTGCCAGCGACCAGCACAGGGTGATCCACATGATTATCCCCGTTATTCGGCCGAGTGCGATCGATTGCATGAATCGGAACCACGACTCGGTGGGGATGATGGTGTTCGGGCGACGGAGCACAGTCAGTAAAGGGCCCGCTAATCACTGACTCTTCCCATTTCCCTGCTCCTTCCTGTCGTCCCCTGTCAGCGGCATTTTCTCCTGGCAGTCTTTCCTGTAGTGACCCACCTTCCCACACCGAAAACACGGACCCTTAGGAGGTCGGTCGGGTGTATGGACGGCGTTGATCGTGGCCCGATGGGTCTGGCCACGAAAGCTTCTCCCATCCCTGGAAGCTGCTCTCGCGTACTGCATCAGCGCATCAGTTGACTCCGCCAGCCTTACTGCTTCGAGAAACGATGTCGGGCGGCCCCTGCGAACCTCAAACTGTATTTCGTATTTAAGGCCGCTGACGTACTTATCCAACCGCTCTGCTTCCGACATGTCATCAATTTGGTCGGCGAAGCCCATAAATGACGCCGTGTAGTCTTGGACAGAAGCCATCTGCGACCATGCACGCAGCTTCATGCGAGCTTGCTCCGAGGCGGATACGTGCTCGAAGCGATCTCGTAAGGCTGCGCCCCACTCCTTCCACGTGCGTATCTTGGTCACACCGAAGATCGGTTCTGCCACTTGATTAACCATTGTAGAGGTCACGTCTGCCGCATGTGTCACACCTGTCGGCGTCCCTGTTTCCAAGGTTCGGCGCCACCATTCAAGCGCTGCACCTCGAAGAAGCGAAACCGCGTAATTAATACGCGTGGCATCGTCGTTAACTCCCGCTGCAGTGAAGAAGACCTCGACCCCGAACAGCCACCCTTTTACTGTTACCGTCTTGTCCGTAGGATTAAACGGGGGTGGGTTAACGGGCTTGATCTTGATCGTCGTTACTGCAACTGGCGCTGCTGCCGCTCGCTGCCTGTCCTCCTCTTCGAAGTCACGTGTGAGCGCATCCAGCGGATTGCTCATCGCTTGACTGTTGCCCTCGCCTTCGTCCACAGGCGACTCCTGACGCGCTTCACCTCGCGTCTGGCGTAGCTCGGCGTTTTCCTCTCGCAGCGTTGTCACTTCCGCCATTAATGTCTTCATGCTCGCCTGCATTTCTGCCACTTGTGCCATCATCTTGTTGACCGTCTCCTGATCCATGTGCCTAGCGCTACGTCTGGTGGGCAGTCGGGTCTCCGTGGCCTTTCCGGCAAGTGAAAACACGAACTATCGGAGTCGGGCAGGATTGAATTAACAATCCCTGCAGCCAACCGTCGTGTAGTCACTAAACCAGCCACACCCTATGCCACCAAACTACCCTCGGAAAAGCGGGGTGAACTAGGAAAGTAGCTCTGATACCAGGTGTTATGAGTTGTAAAAGAGAGTGCGCAGGTAAACGAATAACGAGACTGTGATTAACTCAACTGAGAATACAATGAAGGCACAGACTAATGTAGGGGTTGGCCTAGCTAGGAGGAAACCTCGGACGAGCGAGGTTGGGGTGCAGGTTTGGCGATGGGAAATGCCGAAGGCGACGCGAGGAGCCTCGGCAGCGTTGAAATCGGCCGAACGTGCGAAGTCCGAAAATCGGGCTGTACGCGTAGCAGTCAACCCGATAAGGAATTAAGGAAAATTCCTTACACTGCTGATTAAAGATCACGAAATACGTTTGGCCAAAATCCCTATGTAGCTTGAGCAGGAACAGAATCACTAATACCTATTACCGCGGATGATCCCCTCGTCCCAGCTCCCTTCATCAAATTACCAGTCCTTACCTTGTACTGCCTTTCCCTTCCCACCACGAGTCGTCGTATTTCTCGCAACTCTCGGCCGTCCTTAGCATTCCTTCATCAATTAGCTTTCCATAACCGGACGTTCTTCCCCAACCCATTCTGCCGGCGAGTCCCATGGCGTCCGCTGCGCCGTCTGTCGCGGAGGAATCCGCGTCGAAACCGGCGGATGAGTTCCCGGCCAAGGCGGATGGAGGGAAGGCAGAGTGCTCTCCGAGCGTTGCTCAGATCGACTCTGCTGTGCTTCCTGAACCTGCAATTCAGAGCGATAAGGATGTCGTTTCCGAAATGGCGACTAGGAGCGGTAGGGATGGCAATGCGGATCGAGCGGTTAAGAGCGATTGGGAGGTGGCGCCGTGGGATCGACATGCGGGGGTGCTGAAGATGGCGCGATTCGACTACCGGCGGGAGGAGCTTCTGAGATCCGGAAATGGCGGCGGGATTCAAGGGTTTCTGATCACTTGTGCTTTCCGTGCGTGTTCACCCTGTCCCTGATGAGCCATGATCGCGTAACGGTATTCTTGTTTTTTTTTTTCCCGTAGGAATTCCAAATTACCCTTGACAAGCTATATCGCCTGCCTTACTTGATTGCATTTTTGCTTCGTTCTCCCGTTGCCAAGTTCCACACATTTGTAAGCGTTGGTTCTTGTAGGCGTGTACGGCACTGATGCGAATCCAGCGTTTCTCATATGGAGTATCTTTTGCTTCTGTTGATAATGATGTGCGTGATGCATGTGTGTCTGCATCACATGCCTGGCGTGTGTCTGCTGCATGCCTGGCATGTGCTGGCCGTGTGTTCAGGCCGAGAGAAGAGCGCCACGTCAGAAGCACTTGGCATCCTCCCTAAGGTAATCTTCTGTAAGGGTTCCTGAAATGTGTTCTTGCTGCACTGTACTGCATCTGCTGTTTAGATCAGATCCGTACATTCTTAACTACTCCAGCAACTTCTTAAGTTGTGCGGCTCTACCCTCTATATTCGTTCTACTTCTTTGTCTCCGCTGCTACCCCCTTTTTTCCAACCCCCTTCCCCTCTTCCGTCATTTCCTCCACGAATTCCCCTCTGCGAAAACTATTGCGCTCTTTGGTGCGCACTTGTGCTGGAAATTCTATCTTCTAGATATTCAAGGCTTCAAGCCGGTATCCTGCCTCACAGCCTGTTTCTTCTGCCGCTTCTCCTCAGCTTCCCTCCACTGTGCCCGTACCTGCTTTCAGTGTGTGCAGGTGTGATTGTGCGAGAGTGATGCTAGACTCAACTACAACATCCGTCCATTCACTCCGTATTTCCCCCTCCTCCCTCCCTCCCCTCCTCCCATCTCCCCCGTGCCAGTATCTGCCTGCAGTGCGTGCGAGTGTGACTGTGACTGAAGAGTTTCCCTTTCCTTTCTCCCCCTCGCTGTCCCTCCCCTGCTATTCCCTTCGACCTACCCTCCCCTCTCCCCCGTGCCAGTATCTCCCTGCGGTGTGTGCGAGTGTGACTGAAGGGGACGAACCAGGGCCACCGGAGGAGGGAAAAAGGGGAGCTGATTCGGTTGTGGGGCTGGAAGAGAGTGCTGGGGCCAAACGGCAGAGAGTAGGGAAGGGAGAGGAAGGAGGTGAGGAGGAAGTAGAGGATGGGGGAGAGGAAGGGGCAGAGGATGGGGGAGAGGAAGGGGCAGAGGATGGGGGAGAGGAAGGGGGAGAGGATGGGGGAGAGAAAGGGGGAGAGGATGGGGTAGAGGAATCACAAGCGCAAGGGGGAGGTAATGCAGATTTGAGCAGAGTGGAAGAGGAGGAGGCTGATAGAATAAAAGCTTCCAAGTCTGGGGAGGATAAGGCCTTGAAAGGTACCAAGGCAGAGCAAGATGCGAGTGCAGCAGAGGATGCTCTTAAAGCCGGGCTAGGGGCGGTCAAGCTGGGCAGCATGGGAATAACTTTTCTGGCGCTGCCCGAGAAGGAAAAGTGTGTTTCGGGCAGCGAGGTGCCGTGCCCTGTGGATGTTGTCGGGCAGATTTTGATGGACATCAATGAGAAAAAGAGGAGCGGCCTCAAGTGAGTGTTGCAACCACTGCACTCCACTCCACCCCACTCCACCGCACTACACCCCGCTCCACCCGCCTCGTCCCCCTGCCTCCACTAGATCCTGAGTTGTGAGGTGCCACAAAGGAGCGTTTGACATTCTGAAGGACATTAATGAGAAAAAGAGGAGTGGCCTCAAGTGACTGTTACAACTTGCAACCACGCCACTCCACCGCACTCCACCGCAATTCACCCCACTCGTACATGGTGACTTGTTTTGACTTCAAAGTTACCTCAACTCAAACTCACCTCTTGCCTGCCTGCCTTTTCTTGTGCTCTTTCCATTCCACTCTCTCCCTCTTTCTCTCGTCTTCCCTCCTCCCCACCCCCATCCCTCCTTCCCTCCCTCCCTCCCTCCCTCCCTCCCTCCCCACCCTCCCCCTCCCACCCTCCCTCCCTCCCTCCCTTCCTCCCTCCCTCCCTCCTTCCCTCCCTCCCTCCCTCCCTCCCTCCCTCCCTCCCTCCCTCCCTCCCTCACTCCCACCCTCCCTCCCTCCCTCCCTTCCTCCCTCCCTCCCTCCCTTGCTCCCACCCTCCCTCCCCCCCTCGCTCCCACCCTCTCTCCCTCCCTCGCTCCCACCCTCCCTCCCTCCTTCCCTCTCTCCTCTCTCACTCCTTTCGCCTCCTCCTTCTCTCACTCCCCTCTTCCCACTGTTCTTGTCCTACTCTTTCGTTTACCTGTCACACTGTCACTCACCCGCCCCCCCACGCACTCCCCAACCCAACCCCTCATCCCCCCTCCGCTGTTGCTCCAATCAGGTGGTGCCAACGCATCTGCCCTGTGCAGGCCACGTGCCCAACCACGAAGCGCCACCTGTCAGCCACTGTACAGCGACTGCTGGCCAATCACTTCGCAGCAGACTCACCAGCAGCACCAGCAGGAGCGTCACCACCACCACCGGCAGCAGCAGCAGCAGCAGCAGCAACAGCAGCAGGCGAAGCAGAAGTTGGAGTGGGGGAGCCACGTCTGAATGGTTCTGAGACGGCAGCACAAGCCCTAGAAGCAGCAGAAACCCCGGCAGCACCACAGCAGCTTCTACCTCCCGTGCAGGTATTTCGTTCACACCTGGCTGACTGACAACAAGGACAAAAGTGTGGAATGGTAACTCCGTCGACTTTCTCATCTATCTGGTCAAATAATAATTACACAACGTCGGCCCACACTGTAGTGGAAGTGTTTAACAACAAGTGGCAACTGTAATAAGCTAGCTAAGCAATCTTGCGCCCATCCTTCCCGGGGTCCAGTTTGCTATGGCGCTCAAGAGGACTCGAGCGCTGCAGGTGGGGGGAGAGAAGCAGCAAGGGACAAGGAAAAGCATCTCACCATGCTTGTGCCTTCTCCCCTCCCTTCCCTCTCCAATTCGCAGTGGCGTTCAATAAACGAGGAGCAGAGGATTCAGGCGCTGCAGGTGGGGAGCGAGGCAACAAGGAACAAGGGGAAGCAGCTCACCACGCTTATGGCCCCCGTTCCCCCCCTTCCCCCCGCCTTCCAGTTCGCAGTGGCGTTCAAGAAACGAGGAGTAGAGGATTCAGGCGCTGCAGCCAAAGAAATGGCCAAGAAGGAAAAGGAGAAGGCAGAGAGGCAGAGAGAAGGAAAAGAGGGAGAGGAGGAGGAGAGGGGGGAAGGGGAGGAGGATGTGGAGTTGAGTCGTGATGTTGTGATTAGAACTGTGGCTGATGCTGTGAAGGAAGCTTCTGTGAAGCGAGGTGCTGCGGCTAACTTGACTAACCCAGAGGTAAGACAGTCACTGAGGAAGTGTGGTGTATTTCAACCAACTGACAATGTCTTGAGTAACAAAGTGCTTTTTTGGGGCTCTCTTTTTGCAACTTAGGAATGATACGTTCTGTTCTCATTGTCAATACATATTTATGCTCCTCGTCTGTCCATTTTGTACATGTATCCACTGCCTATTCGGCCACACCAATATATTTCTTCCTTTCTTTTGTTCCTTTAATTTTGTATTTTTCCCACAGTTTGCAGTTGTGGTTGAGATTGTTCCGCTCGCACGGGGTCCTTCTTTCTGTGCAGTCTCCATTCTTCCGCGCTCGATGCTCGATACAAAGCCGCGATTAGCGGTGAAGACTGTCGCGGCGGCTAGCACGACAGGTGGAGCCGAGACTGCCAGGGGTAATGACAGTACAAAATCAAATGTAGAAAATAGTGAGAAGGTTTCAAAAGGAAAGAAGGGTAAAGGAGGCCGTCGCCGGGGGAAGAGTAAGCGGGGCTGAAATGGCAGTGCTCTTGTGTGTTCATTCGTATTGACTTGTTTAAGTGGTGAGGCTATGTGGTTCGCCTCCATCACTTGTAAGGTATTACTGCGTTGACGTGATCAGTGAGCATATAGCGGGTACATCGAGCTATCGAGATTTCGTCGCAGTAGTGCCGCACGATTGGCCCTGTTTCGACGATTTGTTTCAGTTGATTGGCTCATCGCCTGCTGGCAGTCCACTTCATCAGAACCAGTCCACGTCTCCTGTCTGCCGCCAATCAAATCAGCCTGTCGCAAGCGTTTCGGATGATTCTGTCAGTCTGCCCATCTCGAAGCGCGGATGTTGTGCAAAACGCAAAACACCCTCCGTGATCAAATGTGCTTTTGATGATGATCTAACGGGTCACATTCACCTGAGGAACTCTAGACTTCCATCCGTCTGTCCGCCCAACCAGTCAGCACAGACGTGCTTTGCTCGACCTCACAAACACCACAAGTCGAGATTGCGCGCCTTGCGACAGGATTGGTTGGATGCGGCTTGCTTGCAACAATGATTTGCGAAAGGTGGAAGCGAACAGCAAAACGCAGCTCCGGCGAAAGTCGTTACGGCCAAGTCTGCTTGCGCGAACATTTGTAACCGGCGCAGGGGTTTAAAAAATTATTCGTCAAACAGTGTTGTCCGCACCCTTGTCATTTCTCCCTCCCGTTCTCCTTCGCTCAACCACTTTCTGGTCTCTCACTCGTCCTCGTCGCATAGCTTGCTCGCATTTCCAAACATCCTAAGATTATGTTTACAGTCTCGGATGCTGAGCATTCCCCCTCCGTGCGTCCTAAGTTTTAATCGGCTCTCCGGAGGCAGCCGGCAGGCTGACAGCCAGACAAGGGACAGCTTCGGAAGGATGGAGACAGTAAAACGAGGTGATTTGTGAGGGGGTTCAAAAGGCAACCGGAGAAATCTTGACAGCCTGATAAAGTGGCGAGCGGGCGGTGCTCTTTAGCGAGAAATGGAGCCTCAAACGTCGCAGATACCTTCGTGGGTCCGCCAAGGCGCGCGCAATCCCCGCTCGCCGACGCACGCGCAGAACCGCGGGAGGTTCGGCGCAAGCCCCCGCCACAACCCGCGCAGGCGCGGCGGCAGCGCGGCAACCCCTAGGTTCTTGAACAGCCCCGGAAGCGCCGCAATTGACGGCAGCTCTAAGAGTCATGCCGGCAGCGCAAGCGTCAGCACTAGCAGCAGCAGCAGTAGTAGCAGTAACAGCGGGACTTACGCCGCACCCCACGGGCCCTTAGCCCAAACCAACCACCAGCAACCACGTCAGCAGCCGGAACCTCCACGTCAGCATCACCTCCGCCATCATTACGTGCCGCCAGTCGAAACGCCCTCCCACCGCGCGGCTCGCGCAGCCGCCTGGGCGGCAAGGGATCGCAGCAGAGCGCGGCCACGTCAGCAGGGGGAAAGGCGGGTTTCTGCCGAGCGGGGGGACTGGGGGCGGGGAAATGGCGCGCAGCGCCGAGAGCAGATCGGCGGAAGCTCCGCGGAGCTTCCCCGGGGGCTTTCCGCGGGCCACTCCGCTTCCGCTGCTTCCTCCAAAGGCGCAAATGGCGCAGGTGGCGCAGTTTCTCGGAGTTCCGCCGCATTAGACGCGCAAGATAAGGCTCGGGTCGAAGCTGAGGTTCGGCAGATTGTTCACCATGCCGAGGCGAAGGCTCGGCAGCAGCAGCAACAGCAGCAGCAATTGTTGCCACGTCAGCAACTCCAGCTGGGGCCGCGGGGTGGGATTGGGCGGAGCGAACGGCGCGACGCCACGTGGATCTTCCCAGGCCACGGCACCGCGCCTCGGGCCATTTCCCGCCAAAACGCCGCCGCGCTTTCCCGCGGATTGCGCAACGGACTGCAAGAGCGCTTCCGCCAGCTTTCCCCCTTCCCCCTCGTTACCCGCTTCCGCGACCCGTTCGAAGCGCTAAAGCGCAGCGTTCTCGAGGCGCCGCTAGAGGCGCAAAAGGCGGTGCGAGCCGCCGTAAAACGCGGGGAGGAGAGGGTAAACTCGGCGCGCTTAGGCGCAGTGATGGTGGTGCTCGGGCTATGGGAAGTGGCTCGGAACAAACTGGCGCAGGCTCGGCAGCGGCACCAGGTTCGGAGCCAGGTTCGGGTGTGGGGGCAGAGGCTCGGCAGGGAGGCGCCAGTTGCGGCGAAATGGGCGATGACGAGCGGATGGGGGGAGGCGGGGGACGCGCGAGGGGGCGGAGAGGGGGGAGCGGGGGAAGGGATGGGGGAACGAGTTTGGGGAGGAAGGGGGGCAATTGGAGGGGAGGGTGGGGGAGGCGATTCTTTCTGGGGAGGTAACGGGGAGGCGTTGGGTAGACCTGCCCCTGATATACCTCCCCTTGGAGCGTCTGGCATGGACATTGTAAGGGGGCTCTTGGGAAGTGGTTTTGGGATGGCCACGTCAGCAAGACGAAGTAGGGTATAGCGAGGAAGCTTATAAAGAGGATGGAACGTTGCAGCAGCAGGAGACGAGAATCGTGGGCCAGCCTCGGGCGCTCTGGCGTCAGGTGGCCTCTCTGTTGAACCCACCTGGCTCTGTTGCAGAAGCACCTGAGCGCCTGGATCCCAGGGCACCTGAAACTGCAACCAATAATGATCCGCATTCCCCCCTCCGGGAGTCCCCCGCCCTTCCCCCCCCCGCGCCCTGCTTGACCCTTGGGCGGCGCTGCAAATCGCGGAGGAACAGTTCGGAGCGCAGGTGGGCGGCAGGGTGGCTTCAGGAGGTTTCAACAGAAGCAGCAGCGGCGGCAGCAGCAGCAAAATTAGCAGTAACGGCAACAGCAGGGGCATTAACAACAGCAATAGCAGCAGAAACGGCAGCACCAACAGCAAGAGCAGTGGTGGGGGTGGTGTGACCAAAGCAGCAGCCACTGAAGCGGTTCAGGAGGAAGGAGAGGAGGAAGCTTCCGGGATAGTGTCGGCCTTGCTGACTCAGGCCGTTCACTCCTTCCTGCGCTCCCAGGTCAGCTCTCTGCTCTCAGGTGGATCTTCAGGTGGGTTTTCAGGTCAGCTCTCTGCTCTCAGGTGGATCTTCAGGTGGGTTTTCAGGTCAGCTCTCTAAATTGCAAGTGAATATGAGTGTGGATTTCCATATCGCTTTTTACCACTCGTCCATTCCCCTCTATCTCCCTTTCTCCCCTCCTTCCCTCTTTTCCCATCTCCCTCTGAGGTACACTGCTCCTTATATGCAGTTCTCAGTCAGTGTGAGAACAAGACAGAACTTGCTATCCACATCTATCCTGCAGGCTCGGCTTGGTAACTGTCAGCTTTGTCGTTTTCCTGCTCCTTTCGCTTCCTGTCCTTCAGCTCGACTCATGTGGCGATCTGAGGATCAAGGTGGCCGCTACAGGACAAGACCTGCTATCCGGGCGCCTGGGCGGCGTGTCGGTGTCGGCCCGGGCGGCGGAGTACAAGGGTTTGTCCGTTTCTGACGTGGATATGGCTGCTTCTTCTGTCCGCTTTGGCAAGAACTGGGGACTCACACCCAGGTGAGTGAGAGAGTGTACACACTCACACACACTCACGCACGGGTCACCAGTGTGTAAGGGTTCCTCCGATGCTAAAGCGACCTTAGCTGCTTCCTCCCTTCCCTTCCCCTCCTCCCCCCTCCCCTCCCCTACTTTCCTAACCTCAACTCCCTTACCCTCCCCCCTCATTACCCTCCCCCCTCATTACCCTCCCCCCTCATTACCCTCCCCCCTCATTACCCTCCCCCCTCATTACCCTCCCCCCTCATTACCTCCCTTTCCTACTCCATTCGCCTCCTCTTCCTCCCCATCCGCACTCCCCATACCATCTCCCTTCCAAACCCTTTCTCTCCCCTCCTCCCCACATCAATTTCAGCGCCTCCCACTGTATGAAGCGCGCCTTTCTCTCTTACCTACCCTGCAACCGTCCTCCCCACTCAATATTATCATCTCTCCTCCCCCTTCTGACTCCCCCCAATTCCCTGCTCCCCCCTTCACCATTCAGTTTCACCGACTCGCACTTTCCGGTGCGCGCCTTTCTCTCCATGAGCCCTGACGACTTCAACAGGAGGTGAGCCACTCTCTTGGGATTTATTGAATTCCGGTTGAAGGGTATGCTTTTTAACAAAAGATATCAAACAGGAGGTAAAGCTGTTCTTTGCAAGTATCAAGGCGTGTGCTTTGGGACTCGCACTTCCCATCCCAGCGCGCGCCTTTCTCTCCATGAGCCCTGAAGATTTCAACCAAAGGTGAGTCAGGCTCAATAGTTCAGCTGTACTAGTAACTAATCAACAGGAGGTGGTGAGTCTGTTCTTTGCAAGTATCAAGGCGTGTGCTTTGGGGCTCGCACTTCCCATCCCAGCGCGCGCCTTCCTCTCCATGAGCCCTGACGACTTCTTGGGACTTTTATACTGCCGTTTGAACGGTATGTTGCTTGGAAAGGCGAAAAATTACCCCATGAGGACATTAACCCTTCTCTCCATGAGCCCTAATGACTTCAACAGGGGGTGAGTAATTGTCTTGGAATTTATCGAGTGTCGTTCGAACGATATTCTTACTTATGAGAGCACCAACCCTTTCCTCCATAAGCCCTGGTGACCTTAACAGGAGGTGAGGCGGTGTCTTGGAGGTATCGAGGAGGGCAGCACAACAGAAAGATGGGTAGTCATACAGAGCCGAGCGTTAACAGTCAGCCAAACAGAAACAAAATGATGTCGAACCAACAATCAACAATCACAAGTGCTTTGTGCATATGGTTAAAACGCAGGTTTGCAGTGACAAATCTTGCAGTGACAAATCTTGCAGTGACAAATCTTGCAGTGACAAATCTTGCAGTGACAAATCTTGCAGTGACATGTGCCTACCAGCTAATTCTGTCCCTTCAAACTTCTTCTGCTCCTTGTTCCTCCCATCCCTGCGCTCTCACTCACTCCTGCCTCTCACTCCATCTTTTCCTCTCCCCCTTTCTCTCCCGCCCATTCCCCCTTCCCTTCCCCCCGTCCCTCCCTGCAGCCTGAGGAGCCCTCGCCTTCCCCCTCCTCCACTCCGTCTTCTCACGCCCACTCCCACCTCTCACTCTATCTTCTTCTCTCTCTCTCCTCATCGTCCCCTCCCCCCACCCCCCTCTCTCTCCCCTTTTCCCCCCCCTGCAGCCTGAGGAGCCCTCTCCTCTTCCCTCTTCTCCGCTCTGTCTTCTCATTGGACGACCGCCAGCCAATCCCAGCCCTCCACGTGTCACTTGGTGACGGATTCTTGGAGTTCGTAGAAGCCAATCAGGATCCGAGATTCAGCCAGATTCAGAATCAGAATCTAATCTCCAGTCCGGCTCCCAATAGCTCCAGTAGCACATCTGCCCTTCCCTCATACCCTTCCTCCCCGTCCTCCTCTCTCTCCTCCTCTTCACCCCTCAACCCCCCACACTCCACCTCTCTCTCTTCATCTTCAAAGCATAACCGTCTAAATCCACTTCGAACCTCGTATGCCCACTCTCTCAACTCTCCCCGCGCTCCCCCTTCCCCTCATTTTCCTTCTGCCTATAGCCGCTCCCCCCGCTTCACCCCCTCCCCCCGATTTACCCCTCGATTCACCCCCACAGCTCGCCTCAGTTCCCCCCACTCCTCCCCCCACCACCACTCCCCCTACTACTCCCCCCAATTCTCCTCCCCCCGCCTATCCGTCCGCTATTCCTCCCCTTTCACCTCCTCCCCCACTTCCTCCTCCCAACCCTCCCTAGACCTCCCTCCCCTCCCCATTCCCCTCCTGCCGCCCAACCCACTGTCACTGTTGAGATTCTCTGCCGCCCAGATCAGATTCCCTCAGCCTGTGCTGGATACTGTCGGGCGGCTGCAGCTCCTGAAGCCGCCCTTTCTGTTCCCTTCCCACTCCTCCTCTCAAACCGCGGATACCACACCACCCTCTACCCTTCCCTCACCCTCGCGTCCTCACTCACCCTCCCTCTCCTCCTCTCCCTCCTCCTCCCCTCCTCCCTCTCCCCGCTCCTCTCGCCTCTCGACCTCTCTCGCCCGCCGTCTCCGTCCCCTCCGCATCCCCCACCCCAACAACCCAGCTGCAAACCCCCTCACCGCTCACAACCACACCCTGTAAACCTCTGCGGAATCTCCTGCTGCTGCTGCGACACCAGCAGCGTTATCCCCCTACGCCTGGAGGGGGCCAGGAACGCCTTTCTTTGCTAGCTCTGTTCTCTTCCCCTCCTCGCCAAGCCTGGGCCTTGGGAGACGACACAGACAGCAGCAGCAGCAGCAGCACGGTCTAGCAGATCAGCAGGCACAGCAACAGCAAGGGCAGCAGCAGCAGCAAAGGCAAGGCTCGGTTCCGCAAGTCCTCGACACCCCCACCTCCCCCTCCACTCCCCCCATCTCCCTGGTCCCCCCTCGCGAGTTCTGGTCTAGAAAAACCCTCCGGCTTCCAGGTCAGAGGAAGAGGATGGAGCAGCCGCTGCATGGACATCTGCAGCAGCAGCAGCAGCAGCAGCAGTTGAGTGGGGAAAAGCAGAGTGTTTCTGGTGCTGGGGCTGGTTGGCTGTCCCTATCAAAGCAGTTGCTGGGTGCTGCGTCTCGGGAAGCCTTGGGGACCCCATCTGGTGGTGTACCACCCGATGCTGACTCTTCGGACAACAGTACACTCGCTTCTCTAAAATCAAATAATGTTTTACCGTCAAGCTCAGGTGCAGTTTTACCGGATGCGAGTTTATCGAGAAGGGAGACCGGTACTGATGTGACCATAGAGGAGGGCGGCGGTATAGGAGAGGTAGTGGAAGAGGAGGAAGTGTCATATAGGGGTCCTTTGCCTGTTGCAGTGCGCCTTGCAGTTAGTGAGGATGGCCGGCGACTCTCTGTAAGCAAATTCGGTAGTGAGTGCCTGATTGCATGTGCGAGGGACGATATAGGTAAGAAGCAAGGGAAGGGTAGAGGTGGAAATGGTCGACGAGGGGGGAGCAGGGATAAAGGGCATAAAGGTAAGAGAGAAAGCGAGAAGAAGAATGACACTGTAGAGGCTAGCTCTTGTGTGGAAGAGGTAGAGGAGATCGATTTAGGACCTGGGACGTTCCTCACTAGGTTAGATATCTCGCCTAATGGAATCTTTCTAGCTGGCAGGTTTCTATTGACCTCGTAGTAAATTTCTTGTTATTTTTGCATATACCTATTTACCATCCGTAATACCGTAGGTGCCCTCTGTTGTCTACACAAGGTCTAACTAGTACAGTAACAGTTTCTTTCCGCTCTATTTTTCGAAGAAACATCGATAGCGCGTCTGATTGGTTGAGAAATTGGCGGGAAAAGGCTCGTCAGAAGTGGAGAAGCAACCAGACGGCATCATCCAGGAGGGAGAAATCTGGGGACGTGAAACACGGAGACGATAGAAGTGGAATCTACCGAATCGCGGATTCCACGGAGTTCGACGCGGCACTGTAAGGTTTAAGAGAGCTAGTATGGGTTGCAGTGCGGTTGCGAGTCCATCATAACCTTTCAGTTTCCACCCTGGAGATTGCCATCGTGATTCTTCAAGTGCCTCAACCTAAGGTCCACAAGAAAAAACTGAAGATAACGATTTTCTGAGCGCGATCAAATTTAGGTAGCGCTCGATGACTATTCGACCAGGGAGACTATTGACTAAGGGACGAGAAGGTAGGAACCTACACGCATAGAAAGGACTTATTGTGCGAGAAGCCACGATTTGTGTCGTCGGTGGCTCGCGACGCGAGGTCTGCGAGTTCCAGTGCAGTATTTCAGCAATCGTTCGTCGGCTCGTAGGCTGTTTTGGAGCAGTCGTAGGTAGTGAAAGTAGCCCTGGTGATTAGGCCTGTGTTTCATTCTGGAATCAGTGAGCTATAATGAATGACGCATTTGTTTTCATTCAGATGCTGACAGGTAGTAGCACAGCGGGATTACGGAAACAGGTGGCTGGGTTCATCCGCCAGAATAGGGAGCGGTAGGGGTGGAATATTAGTCTCTCTTGTAAGCTAGGTCACGCATTTGCGTGCTTCCGTTGTTTCTCGTCTGCTTCGCGTTTATTTCTCTAGCGGTGACTGTGCGCGTCTTCGTGTGAGACAGTCACACTATCGACGCGGCTTGAAACGATACTACAAGTGTATCTTAACAGCATCCGAACTTCAATCTCCAGCGCAGAGTCATGGATTGGTCGGATCGCGGATCCGATACGCGTCCTCTCTTCACCGCTTCGTCGCCTCGCAGCCCGAAGCGCTTCGGCGCTTTCTCCCGCTCCAGATCCTCGAGGGAGCGAGAGAGATCGCGAATCCGACGGATGGCGTATCGTTTCGACGGCCTGGGCTCCTTTGAGCGGTTGGATTGGGACCGTCTGAAGGAATTTGAGAAGGGACGGTTGTTGCAGCATACCCCGTCTCAACTACAGCAGGCGACGACGATTCAGTTGCAACAGCAGCTTCACCCCTACCCCCACCACCAGCAGCAGCACCAGGTGCAATTCCAGATATCCCCCCGAGAATCAGACGCAGCGCGCTCGCCGCCGCCAGCGGAAAATCCTCACCATCCGATCTCCAACCAAACAGACTCAGGCGGCTCGTTGGACGCAGCGGGTTTCTTTCTCCCCTATCCCGCGCTCGCCGTCTCTGGGGCTGTAGCAGACCCCGCGGCGGGTGTCGCTTCCGCGGCTGTAGCGCCCGTCGCTACAGCCGCCGCGGGAGGTCTCCTGACACAGCCAGGTGGCGAGTTCTCGTGGTTCCACGTGGAGATCCCGCGATCCTGCCCGTCGCTTTCCGCCGCGGCTCGCCAGCTCATCACGCATCTGCACCCTCCGCTCCAGCTGCAGGAGATTACGACGCTTCTATCCAACGGTCCGTATTGCGGAACGCTCGGCGGCGCGCTGTTTGTGCGGATTAATTCCCCCGGGCCTATGGAGAGTCCGTACACTTTTAAGATCGCGGCGCGGATCACGCCGTTTGGAATAGTAAGCGTCGCGTTGGGGCCCGTGCCGCGTTTAGAGCTGCAGAGAGAACCGGGAGGACTGCTAGGGTCGGAGGTTGGATTAGGGTTGGCGGGGCTGGTGGCTAGGTTGCGCGACGACGCTGCCTCAGCTGCCGCAGCAAACGGTGCGGGTTCTGCTGCAGGTGCTGCCGCTGGTGCTGCTGCTGCTGGTGCTGTTGCCAGTGCTGCTGCTGGTGCCGCTATTGGTGTTGCTGGTTCTGGTGGTACCCTTGGCAGCACGGACAGAGGGACAGATGGAGCGACTGTTTTGAGGAGACGGTCGCCGAATACCTCATACAGGGCTAATATCGAGGGCGAATCAGAAAGCGCGGCACTTTCTGTTCTCGTTAAGGGCACCAGCGCTACAGTCACACCGCATACCAGCGTGCCTGGCAGCCCGTCCGACACGCCCCGACCTCTCAAAAACAGCGTAGGGGCAGGATCATCCTCGTTAGAGGCTTCCGCGATAGCAGCAGCAGTGGCAGACGGGGTGGGGACTACAGGAACTAGTGGAGCAGGAGGAGCAACGGTAAGAATTGAGACTGCAGCCGTTTCTCTCAGACAGTCACACTCGGAGATAGAAGAGTGTGTGACAATAGAGGGGGGTTCGCTTTCCTCCGGCACAATAGAGGGGGGATTGCCTGCCTGCGGTTCTGGAGTGAGTCAGGTGAAGAGCGAGGGGAATCTGGACCGAAGGGGGCTGTTGCAGGGGCTGGGCAGCAGAAGCTTCGGAATGGGCAGTCGAGGGTATGCTAGTGATGCTGGCGGGGGAGGAGTGAGATGGGGGGCGGGTGCGGGTTTTTCTGGTGCAGGCGCTTCTGGGGCAGGTTCTGCTGGAGGAGGTGCATCTGGGGACGCGGGTGGGGTTGGGGGGAAGCGGAGTGGCGGGGTTTTGGCGCGAGTGGGGAAGGTGTTGGAGGCAATGACGCCGAGGAGGAGGGAGGTGCGGGAGGAGCAGGTGGAAGCACACACGACCATCGATGTGGACGATGCGGTGAGTGCGTGCCCCTTGCTGTGCGTGTGGTTAGGGTGCGTGTGGTTGTGTGTCTGGCGACGTGTGGTGCCCTATCGAGTGGGGAAGGTTTTGGAGGCGATGACGCCGATGAGGAGGGAGGTGCGGGAGGAGCAGGCGGAAGCACACACGACGATTGATGTTGACGATGCGGTGAGTGCTCCGTGAATGCGGTGTGACTAGCAGGGCGGCGGTGAGTGTGGCAGTGTGTGTGATGGCAGGAGGGAGGAGCTCTTGCGAAAGAGCCACCCGGAGAATGCTGTCACCGTGACGGTGTTTGGGGAGACTTTTGAGTCGACTCAAAAGAGAATGCCGACACCGTGACGGTGTTTGGGCTGCTGTGGTGTTGAACATGTAACACCGCTTACCTTTGCCTTCCCTTGTGTCTAATCTGCCCCTTTTGTTCGCCAGGAGCTAGAGGAGCTGCTGCGGAAGAGCCATCCAGAGAACGCCGAATGTCTGATTCCCGTCACGGTGTTTGGACTGCTGCAGCACATCGTTGAGACGCACATGGAGCACCTGGAGGACGTGGTGGTACAATCCGGTTCAGTGCGGTACAGCACACATGAAAGGGCTGCTGCAGCACATCGTTGAGACGCACATGGAGCACCTGGGGAGCACTTATTGACCGTGTTTGAGCATGCCCCTCCTCTTACCCTTTGCCTTCCCTCGCCTGCTTTCTCCCCAGGAGTTGGAAGAGCTGCTACAGGAAATCCACCCGGAGAACGCCGAATGTCATTGTGACATATGCCCCACCTCTTACCCTTTGCCTTTCCCTTCCGTCTCTCCTACTTATCGGCAGGAGTTGGAAGAGCTCTTGCGGAAGAGTCATCCAGAAAACGCCGAATGCTTGATTCCTGTGACGGTGTTTGGGCTGCTGCAGCACATTCTTGAGACGCACATGGAGCACCTGGAGAGCACTGAGTGACTGTGTTTGAGCATGCCCCACCTCTTACTCTTTCCCCTCCCTGGTGTGTTGTTGCCTGCTTCTACCCCAGGAGTTGGAAGAGCTCTTGCGGAAAAGCCACCCGGAAAACGCCGAGTGTCTCATCCCCGTCACAGTGTTTGGGCTGCTGCAGCACATCGTTGAGACCCACATGGAGCATCTAGAGGACGTGGTGGTGGAGGTGGAATGCATGCTGGATCAACACGAAAGAGACCTGGATGAAGGTAGGTGCACCCTTTTCTATTTTACAGTTGTCGATTCATACAGTACAGTCCATTGCTGCAGCACATCGTTGAGACGCACATGGAGCACCTAGAGGACATGGTGGTGGAGGTGGAATGCATGCTGGATCAGCATGAACGGGATTTGGATGAAGGTGGGTTACTCTTCTCATTGCACTGTACACACGGGTCTTGGAAGCGCTGCAGCACGTTGGGCTGCTGCAGCGCATGGTTGAGTTGAGACGCACATGGAGCACCTGGAGGACGTGGTGGTGGAGGTGGAGTGTATGCTGGACCAACACGAGAGAGACTTAGATGAAGGTAGGGTGCACCCTTCTCTGTACTGTACGCATGCATGGAAGGGCTGCTGCTCACACGCACTCTCACTGTGAGCACCTTGAAGATGTGGTGGTGGAGGTGGAATGTATGCTGGATCAACACGAGAGGGACTTGGATGAAGGTACCATATTCTTCTCACATGATCGTGTCGCGCTGCAGCACACACACAGTGAGACGCACATGGAGCATCTAGTGGATGTGGTGGTGGAGGTGGAATGCATGTGGCGGTTGCTCAAGGATAGGACCTTCCCCAAGCTGCACCTGGACCTGCAGAGAGCGCTGCAGTCTTGTCCCTGCTGGTCAATTCTCTTTCATTCTCCTTACCCAAAAACCACTTCCACACCCCCTCCCCCCCCCCCCTCCCTTCCCCCTCCCCTTCCCCGTTCCCCCTCCCCTTATGCATGCCCTACCAGGGTCAGACCATCGTCTGCGGTTACTCAAGGATAGAACCTTCCCCAAGCTGCACCTGGACCTGCAGAGACAGCTGCAGTCACTGCTTACTGAGTCTCTGTGTCTGATTCTTACCCTGATTCCTTCTTACTCCCGCCTGTCTACATTCTTCAGGCTCTGACCATCGTCTCCGGTTGCTCAAGGATAGAACCTTTCCCAAGCTACATCTGGACTTGCAGAGAGTGCTGCAGTCGCTGGCACACGGGGAGGTCGTGCTGCCGAAGCTGAAGGACAGGCTCGTGGCTCGGAGCTGGTGCGCCGGACCTGTAGCTTCGGCGGTGCTGGACGGGGCCATGGCTCGGCTGAGGAGAGGCAAGGAGAACGTTGGGTTTCTGACAGCGAGGATAACGGCGCTACAGACGGGGCTGGACCAGTGGCAGTCAGAGCAGATCAACAAGAAGCTTTACTACATCTCGTTCCTCTCCATCGTCTTCCTACCACTTTCTATTATCACCGGAGGTGGGTAGTGTTTGGTCACAGAGTATAGTGAAAGAGAGGGAGTGAATGTGAGAGTAACGGCGCTACAGACGGGGCTGGACCAGTGGCAGTCGGAGCAGATCAACAAGAAGCTCTACTACATTTTCTTCCTCTCCATTGTCTTTCTACCGCTCTCTATAATCACCGGAGGTACGACACTTGATATTTCAGGTGGAGCAATCTCTATAACTACTAGAGGTGGGCTGAGCGTCAACCTAGGAGGGTGAGAGGTAAGAGCGTGTTGGTGCAGGATATGGGGTGAGGGTGAGAGTGACGGCGCTACAGACGGGGTCTGGTTTACGGGAAGGGGTATGGTCGAAGTGGGAGGGGCGAATGTGAGAGTGACGGCGCTACAGACGGGGCTGGACCAGTGGCAGTCAGAACAGATTAATAAGAAGAGGTTTGGTCTGAGGTGAGAGCATGGTGGAAGGGGGGGGGGTGACAACGAGAATCGCGGCGCTACAAACGGGGCTGGACCAGTGGCAGTCGGAGCAGATCAACGTGGTTGGGATTTATCAACACACGGTTCCACCTCTTCCTCCCCTCCCTCCCTCCCTTCCTCCACACCAGCCTTTGGCATGAACGTGGGTGGGGTTCCCTGGGTGCAGCAAACCACCAACGACCCAAACGTCACCAAAGGATTCATCAGCGTGATGTGGATCTGCTTCTATGTGGTGATCGCGCTGGGTGCTGCTTTTGCCGCTCCGTCGGTGTATGCGTATGTGAAGGAGAGATTAGAGGAGCGGAAAAGAATAGGAAAGGAGTTGTGGGAACGAGCTCGCAAGGTTATGAACGTGCTGAAGCTTAGACCCAGAGGAGTAGGGCGGCTTGGAGAGGGATACCGCTGGCACGAATCCGATGAGTAGAGGAAATGAAAGTCGAGAGAGGGTTACCAAACCAAGCTACCACTTATCTTTGTGGAATCTGCGTTCCTGTAGTAGGGTGCACTCCCTCGTCCTAAGGCAATCTAAAACCTCTGTTCAGGCTGCATTCTTGTAGTGTAAAAAGAGACCTGGTGGGCTTGGATCAAGGCGTAAGCTTCAAAAGATTCAACATTTATATCAACTTACCAACGAACAATCTATTCGCCGTATCCTAATCTGAAAGGACGACGAGGCAGGCGTGAGGGTCCAAGGAATTGGGGGGATTGTGCAGAGAGTGACAAGAGTGACTGGGGTTTGGGCTGTAAGGGGGACCCCAGCGACGAGGGTGTTGTTCAGCTACGAGGGTTGCAGTGGAGTGTATGGGATTGCATAATTCAACAGCAGTGGGACATGTTTTGCTCTTAGCATCAGTTTGGCTGTGCTATGTGAAACCCTGGTAACTAAGTTGTGTCCTATCCACATGGTGACAACATAACTAGCACCAATACTGTAAGTAATAGCATTCTGTTGTTGTTTTCTATTTTTTTACCCGAGTATCGGACTCTATTGTAAGTAGGTGTCCATCTCGTACGTTTCTTGTACTTTCTTCGTCGAGTTTCAAACGGTGATGCGAAAATACCTTTCCACATCGTATGGAACCGTCCTGAGCAACGAATAAGGGCGCGTGTCTTTTGGTCTTTATAAGCAAAACTCGAGTTTTTGGTTGAACTTTTACATCTGAGCCAAGGTCGACCTAGGCTCGAATATAGCCAAATCTGTAACCCGAGTCGCGGTTCCAACACTCTCGAGAACCACAAGACACACAACTTTCCCGACTATCGAAGTTGAACTTTTGCAACTTTCTCGAGTCGCGGCCCACAGTCGAAGGTTACCCGGTTTGGCCTCTTGACAGGGAGCCACCTATGACCCCCGCGTCCACCGCCACATGTGAGTTGGCGAAGCCGGAACCCTGTCGATCGAGTCGCTCGTGCTAACGACGTCAGCTGCGACCTTGCAGACTTCGCTTCTTCATCGTCTTTGGTCAAGAGGACACACAATTGGATTTTCGTGCGAGACTGTTTGGTGTCAGAAGTTCAACCAAGGATTCGGTCCCGCTTCAGACGTGAAATTGTCCTTGGACACACGATGCCCATGCGAAGCATTTAACGAAATAAGCGAATAAGGTTACCACTAAAAGTTCAACCAAATTTCCGAACGTCTACACCAAAAGACACGCGCCCTAATGAACTGTAAACGTACGACTCGGATCCCTCCTAGTTCGAACTCCAATCGCTTTGCACCGTGACGACACGCTACTCAACTGTATCCTCTGAAAGATCGAACTTTTGCAAATTTCGACCCAGACCACACGCGCCCTAAGGTCACTATTCCCCCAAATCCCTCCTGAAACGCTGAACTCCTGTAAGCTGGGAATGTCACACCACGGAAATGTTATCGAGGTACTGTAGCGGTATGCGATTCTCTCGGAGGCTAGTTGGGTCATTCTTTGGTTGTGGTTAGGCGCAGCCATATTCGCTGATACCTCTTCAGGGATCTGCGCAGGTGGGTTTCTGGAGCCGCACTTTTGACACGTCGCAGGTGTGTTCTTTCTAGTTCAGATGTGAGGGGCAGGAAAATTATCAGGCGCTTATCAAGGCGCGAATCTGAGCCAGTGTGACGGGCGAAGCAAATGCAGGGTGCACCTCCTCCGCAGCGCTTCCCGGACCGCCCACAGAGAAATGCCCATGTGATTTGCTGCGCCTCGCTGATTTCTTCTGAGGCGGAGATTCGCCTTGGTTTGCGCGTGCACCGCTGCGCATGTTCCGTTCTGTTATCGTTTCCTTTGGGTGGAAATTGATTTGTCGTATTCGATGCAACCACACATGAATAAACTGGAGATCGTCCGTGCCGACTGTATTTCAAACCAAACCCTTGCTTTCTTCGGCTCCACCAAACCAACCCTCCCACTACGCATTGATTCCTTTGCTGTGGCCAAGCACCAACCTAGTCCCAGTGACAACACTGCACGAACAAACAATCTTGAATCAAGGATTTCTCTAGCCAAGCACATAGCAAAATGGTTCCTAAGCGAGCAGCTTCTGCGTTTATCGAAATGGCCGCTGCTAAGCGTCTTCGCGTGTCTGAGACAAAAGCCGTCGCCCAGTCCTCATCGTCATTGGACTTGATTCCGGTAAGCACTCCTATCCACATCGTGCCCTATTTTCGCTTTTACTTTCGGCGCTCCTCGTTCACTGTGCGTTATTTCGGTTGGCCTTCGTTTTCCACTTCGAATGGATTCTAACCTTTGGACCTCCTCCTTTTTGCTCCTCTCCTTTTATTATTCCAGGATGACGTTCTCTCCCTAATCGCCACATCCGTCGCCTCGCAATGCGCGTCGGCCGCAGAGTTCGCCAGTCTGCGCCTCTCCTGCAAGCGCTTCCACGACGTGGCCACGTTCCCCGAAGTCCTCTCCGCGCTCCCCATCTCCGCGCTCACCTGCCCCGCGCACGCCTACTCCGCGTCCTACCGCTCCTTCCTCCGCGCGTGCGCGGACGCGCGCAACAACGAAGCCGCGTTCCTCCTCGGGATGATCGAGTTTTACTGCCTAGGCGACCGAAAAGACGGAATCAAGCACCTAGTCCAAGCCGCGAAAGCCGGTCACCCAGGCGCGCTGCATTCCCTCGCGGTCGTGCATTTCAACGGTAGCGGCGGCGCGGTCCCCAAGCGGAAACTGTCCGTCGGTGTGCTTCTCTGCGCCAGCGCGGCGCAGCAGGGCCACGTGGCGGCGCTTCGGGAGCTAGGGCACTGCTTGCAGGACGGGTACGGGATCAAGAAGAACGTGGCGGAGGGGAGGCGGTTACTGATGGAGGCGAATCTGCGGGAGTTTGCGGCCAGCCAGGTGTTACCTGGGGAAGGCGGTTTTCCCGAGGCTGAGCAGAAGCTTCGGCAGCTCGACGCCGTGATTAAGTCCGTGAAGGCGGTGATTCCGAAGCTGAGCGCGGACGAGGCGCGGAGTAACGAGCAGGAGCAGGTTAAGGACGGGCAAGTTCAGGCGTCTGTTGCGGCGGAGTCGCGAGCGCAGGAGCATGTGAGCGCGCACGAGCGCGCGCACGAGCACTCGCACGCGGGTCCCTGCAACCCGCCTTCCGCCAACGGCGCGTCTTCCCCCGCGCAGCTGCTGCAATCCCTCTGCCGCTCCCTGCGCCCGCTCATGAGCGACTTTGGTTGCACCGTACCGGATCTCCCCCTCCCCCCCGCCTCGCGCTTCCTCCTCGAGTGGAACGCGGAGCACGGCGTCCCCGCGCCTGAGACCGGACTGAAGGTGTGCGGAAACGTGCGGTGCGGGCGCCCGGAGACACGCGAGAAAGAGTTCCGCTGCTGCGCGGTGTGCTCGGGGCCGAGCTACTGCTCCCGCGCGTGCCAGGCGCTGGATTGGCGCGCGGGGCACATGGATGTGTGCGAGGAAGCCCCTTCGGCGGAGGATGCGGTTCAACTGGGGGAGGGGGAGGCTGTGGAGGTGGCTTAGACTTACTCGTGGAAGAAACTCGTTGAGTACCCTGGGTACGCATCATGATGGCACCTCTCTACACTGACTTACGGCCTTAAGGCCATCGACCTACTAACCACTAACTAAAATAGTGATCCGACCATGTATTCTATAGTTTCTGTTGTACCATGTGTTCATATGGAGTTTCATGTATGGTAACCCTTCATGTATTTAAGGAGCATGTTCAGCGCATCATCATAAGAAGATGTTGGTTTGCTTGTTCGTCTTGGCTCACCAATTCCGAGGGCATCTAGGGAGCGGTTTCACATCTCTTGGGTTGGGACTCTCACCAACAATTATGTCATGGAGCTTCCTTGCAGGAAACTCTCCCTATACCCATCATACAGACAGAAACAAGTTCAATCATATGGTTGCATATCTTCTGCTGTATGAGTGTGACGTTCCGTTGGTAGTTGGCCACATTACTTGTACAGCATGTACAGTGCATCCAGCAATAGCGAGCATATGGAACGTGGGTTGTTCGTGGTGTGGTGTGGCGCACCACCCACAACACACATCACCCGCGGTGCTGCTGACTGAGTGCTCCACCACAACACCACAGAATTGAGAACGATCCAAAACGGTAAAGATCGGAGTCTATGCGTACCGTGTGGAAACCCACAAAACCGCAGTGCAAATCATCAGTGGTCGATTTCTCCATACTACCATCAACAAAACGGGTGAGGCACTGCAGTGTTCACTCATCAGGTTTAGCTGTCGATGATTACTTTCGAAACCTGTCTCAACTAATTTCGTGACAGGTGTCGTAGGTCTTTCGAAACTGCCTTCTCGTAACCTCTCCCAACCCTGGCGTCATTTGGCATTGGAGTGTTGCCCTTGCTTCCTCAGAGGTCGCCGTGATCTCTGTAATGATTTGACTTCATCCTTTTCTGTTTGTTTCTTTTCAGGTTTCGCTTCCATTTGCCGTCGGTAATCAAGGACTCGTTTCGTAGTGTGCAGCCATGTCGAAGCGAGGTAAACGCTTTCACCATCTGTATTCACTGCTCCTTGGATTTCAGTCCGTTGTGCTTGGTCGTGAATCGTCCTTACTCGTGTTATTGCTTGAGGCTTGTACACACGTGCAGCTGGTGCAATGATTATTCCACTATCTCGTTAACCGGATACCAGAATGACGAGAACCTGTATCCATTCAATACATATTCTGAGCACCAATGACTCGCTGCCACGTAGGATTTGCAGGGAACGATCGCTAAATCGATACTGTTTCAGTTTGTCACCTTCTTTATTTGTCTCTGCGACATCATTTTAGAGGCCAGCCGTTTCTAATGCATTTTTTTTCCCTGTTATGTTTTGCAAATTCACGATCCCCTCTTTCTATGCCCAACCAGACGCGTCTGCCACGTCTGCATGGACTGTTGATGCGCTGATGGCGCGAGCCGACGCTCATGTAGCGACCAAGGAGTATGCAAGATCAACTCTAGAGGAGATCATCGACGAGGAGGCTTATGCTGCTGCTCGTGCGCGTATGGTGGGAGGTGATAGAGATATAGCGGGATCAGGAGAGAGAAAAGGGGGCCCCGGAAGCGGTGTGGAAAGGAGAGGGGGCGACGGCAGGCGTCTAGAGGGGAACAAGGGGACGAATGGAAATGTGGAAGTGAAGGAAGCAAAGCAGTGAAGTGCAGTAGAAAGGGTACCATATTGGTGGATGTATTCATTCATGTGTATTATAGTGTGTGTTGATTGCTGAGGATGTACTTATGTCTGTAAATGTATCCTACTGTGGTAATGTATAAACTGTTGTCTACTTGCGTTGTCCGAGCATCAATAGTTGTGGGAGTGTGTATGTAACTGTTGAGTGTTGCTGAGGTCACCCCTAAATGATTTAGCATGAGTGTAAGCCTAGTGTATGTGACCCTTCAGCAATAAGAGATGTCAGAGTTCGATTTCACGCCACAACCTTATAGCGAGGAGGCTAGGTATAGCTGTTCGGCGCCGTCTGGATAGCTGTTTCTGACCATGTCCTAGATGATCCCCAAATTCTCAAATGACGGTGGGGCCACGACAAAGAAAACTGTAGAGAAGGCTGAAATGGTTGGAAAAACAGCCAAGCCGACCAGATCGTGTGGGGCAGCTTCACGCTCGATGGCTTCGGCAGCATCGAACGTTTCATGGTCATCGTCGTTACTGTGGAAAAGCGGCCGACATTTTTCGTTTCTCAATGGTCTTCCTCTCGTGACTACAGTACAACTGGGTGGGTTGGGGGCATTATGCATTTTCACCTACCCGAAAGGCTGACCGAGAAAAGTTTATGCCTGCGAGTACCCTGAAACCTGTTGGACCAATCCTTGAGGTGGGGTGGTGATGGGCGCATTCTGGGTGAAGACGTCGTCTGGTCACTGGTCAATCAAATAAGTCGGGGCGGGGGGAACTGCCTGCCACTCCCTTTGGGCCATTGGCAAGCAAGGGCTGGTTAGCTTTGCTGCCCTCACGCCAGTGCACTGGACGGCTGGATGGATCGCAGTTAAAATATCTACGGTCAGTGTGTCGCAGACGAACCGCATGGGCTTGATTTGGCGACAGCGGATGCGTGATGTGTGAAATTTGTCATGTCACATTGCAGCAGCCCCCCGAATCTTTCCTCATCTCCCCCTCCCCCTCTCCCTCGTTCCCCCCGTACATCGTGAAAGTTTCCGCTTCCGACAATTTCCACCCCCGAACAAACACTTCAGCCAACAAATTTGCTCCTTTCCTCTCATCCACCCACCATCCTCCCGCGTTTTCCAGCGCCTGCTGGGAATGTCACATCTCTCACACCCCCACTCACCCCCGCCCCCCTCCCCCCCTTCAACTCTTTCCTCCGATCGATTTTTTTTCGCTAGAGCCCGTCGGCGTCACGTGCACGCTTTCTTCGCCAGTCTTCGCACACGCTTCACGCGTCGGCCACACCATATCGCTGTGATCTCCAGCCCCCAACTAGCACCGTCCTTCCTCCAGTAATCTAGCTGTTGCTTGCCCTTCATGTTCAACACAAGTCCATCGAGACCACCAACCACAGATTCATGGTCATCTCCGCTGAAAGCTCCTTCAAAGGAGTTTTTATGCCGTGCGGAGTTAGCCAGAAAGATAATCGTTGCGCGGATAGCTCCATAACGAAAAGCAAGACGTCCATAGACTCAAGCTTTTCACACGGTAACATTCGAAGCACCAACTTTCGAGCTGAGAGGTTCTGTCACCTTCGCCCTACGGACTTATCCAACCACCGTGCCTACCCTACCCCGGCAACACGGTCGATTGACCCTAGGTAGTTTTAAGTCAGACGATCTAAAGTCCAGAGAACCTGATCAATATAAGAGCAGTGGAAACTAGTAGTTTGGTCAGACTCAGTCTCTCCGGTAAGTCGCGAACCTAGTGACTTCCGGAATCTTGAAATGGCGCGAATGGTCGACACGAGTTCTCGAAACAGAATAGCTACTCGTGCTAATAGTACAGCTGCTTGTTGCAGAGCCATGGGTTTGCGGCGGCCTTCGAGACATGGGAGTTTCATCACCGTCATTTCACTCTCGGTTCTCCTCCTTTCCACGTCAATTCAAGCCGTGTCTGCGGACCAGCTAGTAGAACAACCGGCCGTCGGTCTAGACCCGACGGGATTCGCGGAAAGTCTAGAAACGCCTTCGAGACGGCGGCTCGGATGGGAGAACACCGCGAACCTTCTGATTTCCGCCGGAGCGCATCTGGCGGGGAACGCTGCGAGTCAGCAGCAGCAGAGCAGTAACCCCTGCGGCACGAGCAATGGTGCTACTAATGGTGTTGTTAATCCGTCGGGGCCGGCTGCTAGTACTACAGGCTTTCGAGATCATCATGACCATCGCGGCGGCGGCAGGAGGGGCTGGGCTGGCCCGCTGTCGCCATTCCGTCTTATCTTCGCGGGGACGAAAATGGCGACGCAGATCGCCATCGCGATGTTACCAGTCGGCGAGGTACGTTACAGTGGGATTTAATGAGAGCGAACCGGGGGGTGCAGAAAGGGAGAGGAAGGGACTGGGGGCGATGGGAGATGGGGAAAGGTTTTGGGGAGCATTAACTTGTGGGCGGAAAATGGCGACTCAGGAGCCGTCGCGATGTTACCAGTCGGCGAGGCACGCGAAGGGTTACAGGGTAGTGGGATGAGAGCGGAAGAGCGGGAATGCGGGACAGGAGGAAGGGATTGGGGGGGATGGGGAAAACGGAACGGTTTGAATTGCCGAGGGTCATTAACCCTACACGTGTCAGCCCTACTCGTGTTCATTGATTTTATTCTCTACTTCCTCCCTCCCCAACGCCTCTACCCCGCAATCTCGTCGCCGCAGACGCTGCTGCGAGCAACCGTCAAGATCCAGACGGCAGATGCCGGCCGCACGGTGACGTTCGTCTACGACGCGGCGGTCCAGCCGTCTCAAATACCGCCGTCCCCCTCGCCGCGCCCGCCGCCGTCCCCCTGCCCTTCCCCCTCCCCCTCTCCCTCTCCGCCGTCCCCCTCTCCGCCGTCCCCCTTTCCGCCTCCTAACTACCCCTCCCCTCCTCCGCCTCCTAGCTACCCGCCTGTTGATCAACCACCGCCCACCACCGGTAGTAGCACGTCCGGGAACAGCACGTCTGGTGCTAATAACGGTGGGAATTCCACGGATGCTGGTTCCGGTGGGGGTGGCAGTGGCACTGGGGGAAACAGTACCAACGGTGTTAGTAACGGTGGTGGTAGCAGCGGTGGTTCGTCAAGCAATGGTACTGCGGGCGGTGGTGGGATTGGAGGGAGCAGCAACAGCACCACTGGCAGTGGCGGCAACAGCACCAGCAGTAGCAGCAACAGCACCACTGGCAGCGGCGGCAGCAACAACAGCAGCAGCAGCGGGAACTCAACAACCACGTCGGCGCCTGGTCGCGTGCTAGCTAGTCGCTTCAACCTCGGTTCCGAAGAGCCACGAGACTCGGCCGTCTCCGAAATGTCGTTCACTGGTCGCATGCGTCGCATGCTCGGCGAGCTCCTCAATCGCGCCGTTCAACACCTCCAGGCTGACGCCAGCCGGAACCTCATGACAGCTCAGCAGAACATGCAGAAGAGCGCGGCGTCAGCTGGAAAGAGCGCCAGCAAGAGCGTCAATTCCGCGAAGCGTAACACGGGTAAAAGCGCCAGCTCGGCTTCGAAAAGCGCGGCTCGGAGCTTGAATTCGGCGCAGAAAGCAGCGAGCCAGAGCGCCAGCTCCGGGCAGCGGCAGGTGCGGAGCGCGGCGCAAACGGGAATGGCGAAATTTCCAACCTTCACTCCCTGGTGCAAAACCGGACCGTACGTCGCGGCCGTGCTGATTCCGCTCGCGAAATCCTGCCCTACACCCCCAACATCGAAATATGTTACAGTGGTTAAAAATAAAAACAAGCGTTACATTCGATTGAGTAAAGGACGTGCCGGGCGGGGCTGTCAGCGGCAGTACAAATTCCAGTTTCCGAATTTCATGGGGAAGGTGGTTCAGGGGCCTGTGGTGATGCGGGTGTGCAAGGCCGGCCCTCCATTTGTGAAGACGTGCGGGGCGGTGACAATGACATCAACAGTACCTTCCTGCTCATCCTGAAAAAATGACGCGAAACTGGATGAGGGGAACCTTTCTGTCCCAGTCACGATGACATTTACATTTCCTTCCTTCCTGGTCATCCTAAGGCAACGGCGACCCGCGGAACCCTACTGAGTCGGTTCCGGCATGATGACATCAGCAAAGGAAGGGGAGCCAGCTGATCCCTGTTAATCTGGTCTGACATCTACCAGGCAAGCTCGGTCTGCTAATTCCTGTGTTTGGGTAATCCAACCTTCAGGTTTCCGTGAAAGGCTCGAGTTTCCACAACGACCATTCCATTCATAAGTTGTGAATGTGGAATGCCAGCAACGTTCATGTGAACTCCACCACGCTGCCTATGCTGGCTGGCACAGGATCCGATCCAAGACCCATTCGGAGCCTTTCTGGAACCCTTGCCTAGTGAGGCAGCAATGTGGGTTCAAGTAGCTTCTTGCGGAGCCTTGCCTGTGGTGGCTAGTGCAGCCTTTGGGATGGATTTACAGCATCCGTAGCACCACCTTGTGGCTCTGCTGATGAGAGCTGAAGAATTTACACCAGACTACACATTTTCTGAATCTTAGGATCCTTCTGTGACATTCCAGAGCTAGTGTGTCAGTGAGAGACACTGATGGGGTCAGCTGTAGCCAGTAGGCTGGGTTGGGCTGGGAGTTGGGCTCCTTATGGATGGCCTTTGTACTTGTATTGGAAATAACAGTCAGTACAAAATCAGCATACCATATGTTTTATTTTATGTAGATGCGAATAAGCTCTGCCAAATCATCGGCCCTACTGTTCATCCAGCACGTAATTGCCATGGAATCTTGTCGACCTTCTGGATTACACGTCAGCGAGGACCAGTGTCAGGCCACTACATGAACACGTCGCCTGCTTGCCACGCCAGCACCAAAATCCTTTTGTGATTTGGCAGACACGTTGTTCTGCCGCATCTCGCGACGCTGTCCTAGGCGTAACGCTGCTCGTTACAATGGTTCGCGAGGTTCGTCACAATGCAAACGGTTCTTCGTTCGTCGCCTCCCTTGACTGGGTGACATATTCTTAACGTGTCGCAAACTAGTAACCATTGCTTCGTTAGCTCGTCAACGGCAAGATTTATGCTGCTAGCTAGGTAGGCATGCCATCCATGGCTGACTGCCAGATGCTTTTGCCCTGAACTGAATGAATGTCTGTCGGCCAGAACCAGGCTTCAAAATACATATTTTTGTCAGCAGGAAGTACCTGCTTCAAGCTTGCTGTGACGCCGCTCACCTGGTCCTGCTTTATGCTCTGAACTAGCTATACACTGTTCGGTAGTTCGCAGGCCTAGAATCAGCCCGTGCCGCTAGCTACTCTCCTGCTAGCGCTGCTGTTTCTGCAAGCACCTCACCTGCTGCTAGTAATTTTCCTGCTTGTCATTCCTGGTAATTGATTGCCATGGCGGCTCTTCAAGCTTCCCTTTCGTCCATCTCCAACCCGTCCCTCGCTCTTCAACACAATTTCGTCTCACATGCCGTCAACAACCAGCCTTCCGCCGTAAAAATCTCTTCACGTCGTCTCACGCGTGCTGCTGCCAGCTCAGCATCCCGCGACGATGACGTGGACTCGCAGCTGGACCGCCGGAGCGTCCTGCTGTCAATGGCTGCCGTGGCGCTTTCTCCCGTAGTAGCCGCTAGCGAAGCGTCCGCTATAACGGTTCCGAAGCAGGTTGGGGCGTTCCTCCCGAAATCCGAGGACGGCGAGTTTGTTGTATTCACTCCAGGAATGAAGGACACGCCTGCGCTAAGAGCAGGTGAGAGCACGGCGCCCTGACTCCTCGTTTTTTTCACATTTTCTCTGTACCGTTTCTCCTGTCAGGCAAAGTTCCCTCCTTACCCTCATAACTGAAAGGAAACGAACACGGCCGGCCTCATGGAACACAATGGAAGGGACGGAAACTATTATTATATTTTAGTGTGTCTTATGGTCGAAATGATGGAGCGACTTGAACAGGTCAGTTCTTGAAGAGGAGAATGCGTATGTTTAAGTCGACTATTTTTCCGTTTTCCTTTTTCCCCTTTTCCGCTTTCCCCTTTTCCGCATTCCCCTTTTCCGCTCTGCTTCTTCAACCGGCGACCCTCCTCCCTTCCACCATCCCGCCTCCCGCTTGGTCCCCCCTCCCCATTTCCTCCCCGTGTCCCCTTTTTCCACCCCCTCCCTCCCTTCTCTCCTCCGGCCCACGCAGCGTGTCACCTACACGTTCAATATCCCGCCTCCTCCTTTCTACCATCCCTCCTACCCCAGTCCCTCCTTTCCCCATTTCCTCTCTCCCAGGTAAACGTGCGTACACGTTTAACATCCTGCCTCCTCCCTTCCACCATCCCTCCTACCTCATCCCCCTGCTTGGCCCCTCTTCTCCCCTCCCTCCAGGCAACGTGTCCCCTTACACGTTCAACATCCCGCCCACGTGGACCCAGTCGCGCATCGCCAACATCCTCTCGGGCAACTACTGCCAGCCCAAGTGCGCTGAGCCGTGGATTGAAGTCAAGTTCGAGGACCCTCGGGAGGGCTTGCTGCAGGTACGGGCATTAGAACGAGCATCCTCTCATACATCACCGCATCGCCAACATCCTCTCGGGCAACTACTGCCAGCCCAAGTGTGCCGAGCCGTGGATCGAAGTGAAGTTGGAGGACCCCCGGGAGGGCTTGCTGCAGGTATGAGCGTTAACATGATGTAGCGCGTCCTGTCTCCCACACTTTGATCATCCCATTCCTCCGTTTCCTGCTCTCCTCGCCCTGCCCGTGCTCTCTCTCCAGGTGGTGGCATCACCCATGGTGCGCCTGACCAACAAGCTCGAGCTGCCCATCGAGGAGATCGGCACCCCGGAGCGCATAATAGCGGCGCTTGGCCCGTTTGTCACCGGTGATTCGTATGACCCGGACGAAGTTGTAGACACGCGCATTCGCAAGGAAGGGGGGCAAACTGTGAGTCTGTTTGTTTTTCTGTCTGTCTGTCCGTTCGTCAGCCTGTCTGTGTGTCTACTGGATTCTTTCGGCACACCAGAGCGCATCATAGCGGCGCTCGGCCCGTTTGTAACGGGCGACTCGTACGACCCGGATGAGGTCATCGACACGCGCATTCGCAATGAGGGCGGCCAGACGGTGAGTGTTGTGTGTGTGTGTGTACGAATGGTTTGCTTCACACAGTTAGTCTGACTGGAGATCCTCTCATAACTGTATTCCAGAGCTTATCATAACGGTGCCCTACGCACGATCAGATGTCTACAACCTGGCCTCTGGCAAGGGCAGCTGCCGAAAGCATGCCCATGTAAATCAATTCTCTCCCCCCCCCGCCCCCTCCTCCCCCCCCCACCCACGCCACAGTACTACGAGTATTTCATGGAAACGCCCTATGCCCGCTCACGCGCCTACAACCTGGCGTCTGAAAGTACAGTGCTGCTGCTGAAAGCACTCCCCATTAAATCTATTTCCTTCCCAACCCACCCACCCCCACGCCACAGTACTACGAGTATTACATGGAAACGCCCTACGCACGCTCGGGCGCCTATAACCTGGCATCTGCCACGGCCAAGGGCAGCACCGTGCTGCTGCTGGTGATCAGTGCAAACGACAAGCAGTGGGCTTCGGGCGAATCCAAGCTCAGAAAGATGCTCAAATCCTTTAGTGTGTGAGAATGCCACTTTGGGAAACTGGTATATCAGCATTCGCAGTTTTGTTCTGAGACTCGGTTTGATTTGATGTTTCCCTGTAAATGATACAACTGTGAGAAACGGCAGGCCTTCGTGTGATTCTAGCTGGGTCCTGGAGATTCAATCGTGGTTAGGACGAGTAAATATCGTACCATTGGACCATGACTGAAGCAAAGGAAATTATGCCGTAGAGATTTCGATGCAAGTGGCTGAAACATTTGCTTCCTTCCTGGGACAGCATCATGCACCCACATAATGCAGCTTTTGGTATAGTGAAGATTTCGCAGTGTCAATTATATATGCTTTACCAGATTGAAAGCCAATAGCCAAAGATTTTTTGACGACAGTGCATCATATTACCACCCATCCAATTATTTCGTCCCTGCGAATCACTGGAGTAGCCGGACTCATGAACTCTCCGCCAGTCACTGCCGTCGCACACGTTGCGTTCGCAACATTCACAGTTCGTTTCGTCTTCGCAGCTCATTTCAATTATCAAGGCACATCGTCACTCTTACACACTCGTGCCATAGTACTCAATTATACGTTCCACTAGGAGCCAAGCACTGCACCTGCATTATATGTGATCGAGAGCCAAGCACTGCATTATATATAGCACATCGAATCGCGCTCCTAGATGGCGCAGCGGCTACCATGCTTGGCTCAACGCCGCAACTCGCAATATATGGGCCAGCCCACCAGCACAGGCCGTGCAAAGTTTGCGCTGGACCGTCCTTCATTCCACCCAAAGCCGCATTTGATTGGAACCTTGAGTTACCCTGCGACATTTTGCACAGTTCGGAACCTTAAGAACCCTGTTGCGCCGCTTCTCTCGCCTCTCCCGCCGACACTTCCTCTGCCGTCGTCATCATGGGGTCGATGCGCGCCTCTCCTGCCGGACTCCTGCTGTTCGCCATTGCCGTCATCTCCGGTCAGTCAACTTCTCTCAGCAAAGAATCATTGCTGGAGCATTGTTGACCTGTAATGACCTCTCAAACAAACCCTATAATGGAGGGTGTTGTACTATGTACATATAGGTTTTGTACATTCAATTCACTCAATATAGCCTGTATCTACAATTTAGCAAAACCTATGTATACATAGTACGAGGGCCAAACAATCTCGGGATGATTTGCCTTTCAAAGGGTTTCCCTGAGCTCCTTGAGATCTCCGCACATCATCTCCCTTATCCTCTGCAGTAGTTCAGATGATGACGGCAGCGAATGGCGACGACACGGTGAAATGCATGGCACGCCGTCGCATGCTGAGCTCCGTGTATGGGAACCAAACAGAACCACCAGCGACCACGGCGGGGGACCCAACAGCACCACCAGCGTCCACAGGTGAGGCACATATGAGCGTGATTCTGAAAAACGTGATTTTGAGGGCGTGTTTCCGAAGGGCGTAAACGGTGAATCGCGTGATGCTATTTTGGTCAGCAGCGTCATTTTTTGGGGGGTGTGACAGAAGGGGGTGGTTCTGATTCTAAGCAGCGATGTTTTCTTTTGTGGCAAGTCTTATCCTTTCATCCTTGCAAATGTATTGACATGTATCCTGATGGCATACTGTGGTCCTTATGACGACTTTAGCGCGTTCCTTCTTTCGTTTACACCTCCTTCAGTCTTTCACGCAGCCCGCTCTCCTCTCTGCTGCAGATCCTGCCTGTGCGGCGTTGGGCTGTGAGCCGGATGGCACCTGTGAGGTGGATAAAAACGGAGAGCGCTACTGCAAGTGGGGTGAGTGACAATTTAGCTCCTTTGCTTCACGTTTTGATGCAGCCCTCTCTCCTCTGTTCCCTGCATCAACACTGCAAGGTGACTGCATCGACGCTGCCTGTGCGGCGTTGGCATGTGAGCCGGATGGCAAATGTGTGGTGGGTCAAAACGGAGAGCGCTACTGCAAGTGGGGTGAGTGAGCATGGCTTTCATTGCTAGAGTGAGCCTACACCATGCGTTTGTGCTTCCATTGGCGTACCTCCTTATGTCATGACGCATGGGCACCATCAATGCCACCATGTGCATACCTAGAGTCTCAGGCTAGGAGAGGCCAAGGAGTGAGCCTATATCATGCGCTTGTGCTTCCGTTGGCCTACCTACCTCCTTCCCCTCTCCTTCCTCTGGAGTCAAAATCCCCCTCCAGCAATCGCATACCGCACCGCACCCATGCCCACCCCTCACACATGATCATCTCACCGCTCCCCCCCCCCCCCCCCCCCCCCCCCCCCATTTCCTTCGAGTATCCCTTTGCCTTGCTTCTCTCCATCCATCCCTTGCATCTCCCCTGCTTGCTGCCTTCCTCACCCTCACCCTGTGGCGCCTACCCCTTGGGATCCTCAACCCCCCACCAGAATTGCACTCACATACCGCACTACACCCATCCTCACCCCTCAGCCTCACCCTGTGGCGCCTGCCCCACAGGAGCCACCTGCAAGACGGTACCTGAGACGACCTCCCGCTGCTTGCATCGTCCAACCATGGAATTCCAGTGCAGGCGCCTTACTGAAAGACCGTGCCTGTGACTGAATTCCGCAAGCAACTGGTGCCTTACAGCTCGTGCCCCGTCCCTTCATTGTCCCTTGCACCCCCTGCTCTCCAGCCTCGCCCTGTGGCGCCTGCCCCACGGGAGCCACCTGCAAGACTGTGCTTGAGACAGACACCAGAGAGTTTCAGCCGTCGCTGTGGATCAACGGCCGCATTCCGGCGCAGGTGCCTTACTGCGACTGCCCTGCAGGCTACGGGATGACCCCCACCGAATGTGTTGAGGGTGAGTCTCTACTCCCTCTGCTCCCCTCTCGCCCACTCTCTCTCTTCCCACTCGCCCCACTCCCTCCTCTCCCCACTCACCACCCTCTGTCATCCCCACCTCGCCCCACTCTCTCCTCTCCCCGCTCTCCAACCCCCCTGCTTCACCTTTCCTCGCTCTGGCAAGTCCACTGAACGCCAAGTAAAGTCGGGCTAGACTTGGCCGGTGCCGAGTCTTCCCAGTCGTGGCAGTGTTTTTATGTGACTCTCAAAGATGGTTCTTTTGGCAACTTGTTTCATCTGATTCATGAAAACGAAGTTGCAAAGCAGTGTGCCTGAAAGGCTGATCGGCAGGGCACAAGGCATACTCGGCAATGTGTGCGGAATGATGCGATATGGCTAGAGCATTACTATGGATGAAAATGCGAATGCAAATCCTAAATTTGTCCTCCTTTTTGCCATTCTTTCACAGGAGGAAACTTCACAGTCGGTGCCGAAAGCGTCACACTCATCGCAAATCAGACAGCCAAGGACTATACCTCCCGGCCCTACACCCTCCGCTGGAACCTCAATGGTTGCACGCAGATCCCAGCTGCTGTGACTGTCAAATTCACTGCAATGTATTCCGTTTTCAGCATCGGTGACACGCCGAAGTGCCAGAACATATACTTTTACAGGACGGACAACTGCGAAGGCAGTTCGTATGCTGTGTCTTCCGGGAATTTTCCGCCGTACTTTGCAAGTCTTACGTGGTAAGTGATTGGCTGGACTTTTTTTATCAGCGTGAGGTGACTTTTGGGTCGACTCAGAAGTCACCTTGTAAGTGATTGATGGGTCTTTCTCCTTCAGAATCATGCCTGCACTATCTCCCCACTTCCCTTGCTGCTCCAGGCTCCAACTGTCAGGGGTAGCACTTATGAGTCATCATTTCCCCTTTGTCTTTGTCATCATCTCCTCTTTGTCATCCTCTCCGCTTTCTCATCCTCTCCTCTTTGGCATCCCCTTGTTTCACCATTCACCAGGAACTCTGATCCTGCACGTTCTGTCAAGTGTGCTTAGCGGGTTGCCTATACTCAAGAGAGTGTCATTTGCACCTGCTAACTTGGAATGATTTCTCCTTCAACAGAGATTCAGCTTAGAAACAAGCCTTACGTGCACCTGCCTTAGGGTCGCGTTCTGTTGCAGTAGGTTGTTTTGGAATTTTCGTTTGAATTGTGCTGCAATAATATCAGCAGTATATTTTTGCAATGATGACCACCGCACATTGTAATGTGTTCAGAATACTGATTGTGTGGTGGCCTTTTTGTCCTGATTGCAAGACCCACACTTGCCATTTTTGCAACTAGGGTTCATGATGTCTCAAATCAAAGTTCTCAGAATGCCGGGCGGTTGAGCCCGTACCACACCACCATTCCTCGGAGGAGGGGAGGCACGCTTGGGTCCTTAAGGTTTGGTAGGTATATGTTGTTCCACAAACACTTTCTTTGAATGTGTTAGTGGTTCCAAGATAGAGTAGTTTGTGAGTGTCTATATGGAAGAAAAGAATTGTGTGGTATATGTCACTGGGGTGTCGCATTCGCGACCATCCCTATGTGGTGTGATGTGGTGTGGTTGAGTATGCTCGCCATAAAGGGCATTTATCTTAGCGGTAACACTCATGGAGCTCGAACGCACGCAAGGTAAGCCACGTTTCCGAATCGTAACAGAGATGTCTTCTCATCGCCACCATGGTAACCAGCATTGCCGAGATGGTCAACATTATGTTGGGCTGAGAAAAAGCCCTTAGGATCTTTGCAGGGGTGAAGTCTGAGTAGGGTTGGTGTAATAGCGGAAGCGTTAATTAAAGAGTTGTGAACCACCTTGCGCTAGTATGTGAGGGCAAAGTAGATTGATTAAAACAAGGAGATACATGATTATATATGAGTACAAGGAATACGAAGAGATGCAGTTATAACTACTTTACTGTTGCTGTTGCGGTTTGATACAGTGACGACTCGGGCAACTGCTCTGTAGCGAGTCAGTTGTGTGTCCTTGCTGTCGCGCTGTACTTGTCAGGTCAAAGGTCGCTGACCTTTGACTTTCGCGTAACCTCCAGCAACTTCTCAACCTCCGAGGGTTGACTCGCGAGTGCCTCGATATGATTTACTTCGCTTCTGATGCGGTGTTTCGACACGACAGAGGCGTTTACGATTTGTTGTTTCCAACACTCCCCTTCGCTTCTGGAGTGTCGTTGCTGATGACGTGGCTCTGTCCAGTCAGCAGCATGCAGTACTCGAATTTCTGCTTTCCGAGTTTCTTGGTCAAGTAGTCAGCTGCCATCTCGGATGTGGGGCAGTATGACAGCTCGAGTCTCCCCTTCTCGATTTCGTCCTTCACGGAGAAGTAGCGTAGGGCAATGTGTTTCGTCCTGTTCGCGAAGCCGTTCTTGTTGGCGATGCGAATTGCCGACTGGTTGTCGCAGAACAGGGTGAAGTTGGGTAACTCAGCTAACTTCGCTTCTTCCAGCAGCTCGCGAAGGTAAAGTCCTTCCTTGGTGGCTGAGCAGAGTGCAATATATTCTGCTTCAGCTGACGAGAGAGCGATTAATTCCTGCTTGCTCGACTGCCAAGAGATAGGTCCGATAGGTTCGAGGCGGTAGACGTAGCCGGTGCGCGAACGCCTGTTGTCGGAGTCGCCAGCGTGATCGGCGTCGACGTAGCCGATTAACTTAGTCGGTGTGGTTGCGTTCTTGTCACGACCCATCGTGCCTTGAATTTGTCAATTGTGCCGTCAGCCTTCGTCTTCACGCGAAAAACCCATTTCCCGGTGAGAATGGTCTTGTTTCGTGCTACGCCGATGGGAACTACTTTCCACGTGTTGCGTTCCTCCAGTGCCTTCAGTTCCTTGTCCATGGCTTCGCGCCATTTTTCCTTATGCTCCCCCCCCAGAGCCTGCTGAACTGTCGCAGGCTCTTTAGGAATGGCTGCGCCGTGGACTGCGGTGACGAGACCAAGGATTTGGAGCCCACTCTGTGTGTAGCGAGGGAGTGAAGTGTGAAAGTTTAAAAGGAAGAAGAGGGGTTGCACTAGCAAGAATGAGGATACAAATAGCAAACCCTAGAAGGGTTGTACTCGCTATAGAGCACCCTACTACAGGCTAGAGCATAATATTCTGACACACCCCCATAGCCAAAGTGGGGTGTAATCAGCAGAGCAAGCAAAGCAGTACAAGCTCAGGGTGGATCACAATGTCACCACACATTCTGAGCACAAGTTCAAGAAGCAATAGTTTAAAGTTCACAATTATGAGCAAAGCTAGAGGCTATCGCAGAGGGCAAGTGAGGAGGAGGAGAGACTGTGGGGGAGAGAAGATGGGAGGCGACTGCTGACGCTGCAGACACACAGACGAGCTGCTGGCTCAGTGGCTACCGGAACAACGCTCCGGACTACTGGGGTAACTGGCCCCGCGGCTAAAAGTAGCGGCAGACGAGCAACGGACCCACGGGCGACTGGCGACTACCGGAGATTGTAGCCTCCGGACTGCTGCTGCTGCTGACGACAAGACTGCTGCCTCCACTCGACCTCCCCCAAACAGTACCAACCCTCCTGACACACACCCGCTGCTACACCGCTAGCTCCACTCCCCCTTCACCCCCCCTTAGCACCACTCCAACGGCTCCAACAAGTCCACCCCCCCTCAGCGGCAGCTGCAGCACAGGGAGACGGAGGAGGAGGAGGAGCAGGGAACGGCACACAGTAGTTTCACCCCCATACCCCTCACCCCCAAACCCTAATTCAGGAGAACGGGCTGTAGGAGGGGTGGGGCGCCAGCAGAAGCACGGGGGACAGCGGGGAGGGCAGGGGCAGCGAGGAAAGGGCCGCCCACGGGCCTGGCACAGCCTCCCGAACCGCGCGCAGGCGGCCCGAGCCGCGCGCGGGCCTGGCGCAGCCCGTACCGGCTGCGCGCGGGCCTGGCGCAGCCCGTACGGGCCGCGCGCGGGTCTGGCGCAGCCCGTACGGGCCGCGCGCGGGTCTGGCGCAGCCCGTACGGGCCGCGCGCAGGCCTGGCGCAGCCCGTACGGGCTGCGCGCCGGCTGTACGGGCCGCGCGCAGGCCACGACGGGCGACGGGGGGCGACGCGCGGGTCCCCGTCGCCCGTCGCAGCGCCTCCCGAGGGCGACGCGGCGAGTGACGGGGTAGAAGCCCGCCGCGCGCCTCGGGGCGCACAGCGGGCAGAGAACCGCCGCGCGCCACGGGGCGCACGGCGGGCAGAAAACCGCCGCGCGCCTCGGGGCGCACGGCGGGAAGAAAAACTGCCGCATGCCACGGGGCGTGCGGCACAGAAGGTAGTAGTGGAAGTTGCAGCGGAAGCAACGAGGTGGTGAGCCCACCCACAGGATCGATCCAAGGGGATCGACCTGCTCTGATAGCATGTGAAAATAGTAGGAAGAAGAGGAGTTGCACTAGCAAGAATGAGGATACAAATAGCAAACCCTAGAAGGGTTGTACTCGCTATAGAGCACCCCACTACAGGCTAGAGCATAATATTCCGACATGAAGTATCCTCTGGATAAACTGCTTCGTCTCCCGCTTCTGGATCAGGTGCGAAATTAGGTCCTACGCGTTCTGCTTCGTCGGTGTTGACTTGTGCAGGTGTAACATAACCGTTGTCGGCGAAGTGGTAAAAGACTTCGGCGTTGTTACTTTCGCGTGGATTTTCGTCATCCATTGGGACATCGACGGAGCAGTATGGGAGGGGTCCGGCTTCTTCCGAGGCTCCTTCCACGTTCTGCTCGTCCCAGTCAGCTTTGTCTTCTTCCGAAGCGAAGGCACGGGTGCCATTGAATCCGCCCGAGGGATCGGGTCTGTTTGCTGCCACGTACGCAAGGTGAACGTCGAGGGTGAGGTTCTCGTAGAAGATGACATCACGTGCTGCGACTGTTTCCTTGCTGTTGATGTCGAAGATTTTCCATGCATTGTAGTGTTTTTCGATGCCCAGGTGTAGTCCCCACTGTGCTCGCTGGGAGAATCGACCGGCGCGTGCAGATGGGGGTCGGTACTGTACCATGCAGCCAAAGACTCTCAACATTTTTGTGTTGCCCAATTTTCCTGTCCACAGCAGGTGCGGTGATGCGTTGTTCGGGAGCGATGATGACGAAAGCAAGTTGTGCAGCATGACGGCGTGGTCCATTGCTTCGGGCCATTGGTGGTTGGGCAGGTGCATGCCACGTAGCAGCTTGCGCATGGTGGCTTGGAGTGTCCTGTTCATCCTTTCTGCTACGCCTTGTTGTTGATGAGCGTAGGGAAGGGAAATGAGCCGCTTGATCCCCCTTTCTGCCAAGTAGTCCTTGAACCTCTGTGAGGTGTATTCTCCTCCCCCGTCTGACTGGAAACTCTTTAGTTTTACGCCTGATTCTCTTTCTGCTGCAGGAAGCCAGGCGACAAAGGCTTCGAAGGCCATGTCGCGGCTTGGGAGATTGAGGTGCCAGACGTATCTTGTGGCAGCATCGATGAAGGTGATCGTGTAGTTGTACGCGTTTTGTCCGGGTTCGCGGTTGTACAGTATGTCGCTGTATACCTTTTCGAGTGGCGCGTAGGCTGGTGCGCTTGGATTGTGGTGAGACACAAACGGTTGATGTGATAAATCTGCTTCGGGACAGGTGAAGCATGTTCCTCGAGCTCGCTGAAGTTCTCTGCCGTCGATCAGTAGAAGTGAGTCCTTGTCGAGCACTCCTGCTCTTATTGTGTTGTTTAACACCGTGTGGCTTGGATGT